TTTTTGTCTAGATGTCGTTTCAACGAGCATATAATTTGGTATACTGTACGCCCGGGATATGGCTTGCCATCCTTGTCGCAAACTTCTTGAACAAATTTGATAAGCCAGAAGTTTAACGTTCTTGCCGTCATTGAACACAATTCTGTCTCCAAATTTTGAAAATTCTGCAAATCTAAGCTGAAAGGATTGCTCTCACACATGACTGCTTTATTTTCTCGCCCACTTTGCCAATCTTCAAATATACGAACTCCCCAACGATTTTTATAACGCGTTGTTTGTGGAATAGCATTTCGCACGTTGTTAATGCTTCTTTCCACGCATTGAGGATCTCGGAATCTCCTCTTTTTGCAACTAATTAAATGCCATGCTTCCTTCGAAGGCGAACAAATACTACAACAACAACGTCTTTAATTCCTTCCTTCGTTACGCATTCGCCTCATTGAACAACTTAATTCGCTATTGTTACTGCCTCATTGCTATGAATATCTAATGATCTGTGAGAAGCAATTTCAAATCCTCGTTAGTGTTTTAAACTTGGCTTCCAAATCCCCAGTGCCATGAACAATGGCTCGGCTGCGCCTCGCCATTGTTCATGGCACTTGTATTTAGAAACCACGTCTAAAACACTAACTCGGATTTGAAATATTACTTGGCCGGACAGTTTAAACGTGCGCAAACTCAGTCACGCAAGCAGTACAACGTATATCAACGCCATCAAGCAGGAAAGTTAGTTAAACATGGGGTACATCGTCGGCCACAGAAGAGAGATATTTACCTCATCTATGTCGTCGGCTGAGGATCATGAAAACGTGAAACTCGGAGTTGCGACTTCATTCATTTTAAGTAAACTAAATGTAACAAAAAATGCAGAACAAATATATAAATTTGAAACGAACTACGAAAAGCTTACCAAAAATGAATTCTCAAGTTCCAAAGCATCTACTAAACATTCAGCAGATGTACAACTATTCAGTAATTCAGCATGAATGTTGTGCGGACAAATAAACATTCTATTTAAATTACCTTTTCTTAATTAAATATTCATGCTCATTATTGTATACTTTTGAAAATAAAATAAATAAAGTGTTTGGCATAATATACTACTTGCAAGGTGAATCTTTTTGAAGAATTGTGATTCAAGGTATTCTCAAACAACTTTCATAGAGCTGAAGATTTTGCTCACGAAATTTTATGAACTTTGCAATGATGTGTTAAATAATGTTTAATGTTAGCATATCTTATTCCTAATAGTTTTAAGTAATTGCCTGTTTAATTTGGCAGTTTAATAAGGCCTAAAAAATACCTGTGGTTCCGGTGTCATATCGTGAAAAACTTAGGGTCAGTATAGGTCGGAAATAATTTTTTTTAATGGTTTTTTCACCGTTTTGGCGGTTTTTTACTGGGCAATTTTCAGTAAAGTCCCAACATCAATATTAACTAGAGATGCGTATTTCCTATGGACGAATTTAGGCAATTTGGTTCAATAATTAGTGTGACAACAGACGCCATTTTGGCACGCCGTATGAGCACGGTCAATCGCGTTGAAAAAATAATAGAATCGGCAGAAAAAATAGGGTCGGTCGCGAACCGGAACCACAGGTATTTTTTTAGGCCTAAGTAGCGTCAACGAACAGAACTGAACTCGTAAAAACAGTTGCCTGAAGATTGCAAAATTGCATGAAACTCTGAGCAGTAGCATATACTATTTTTAAGATTAAATAAATATTGCTCTACCAATTTTTGTGTTGAGCACACTTAAATCTACTGCAATAACGAAACCACAGTTTTGTAGGCCTACATCTGTTATTTTATAATTCTGCAAGGGTTTTGTACGCTTTTTGATCAAAACAGTCTGCTTGCATACATCTACTTTATTAATTTCTATTTTGGTTTTCATGCTATACACAATAATGTTTATTACTGTTCATGATTTCAAGGTTGAGCTATATAACGTGCATGAAATACACTCCATGAGAGTATTCTACAAGAACCTGTCTTGGTTTTATAGATAAAGAATTATACTCAGAATTGATACAAATACTATAGTTATATACTGCCGAGTAAAGGCTTCAGCAAGATGATTAATTATACTAACATGCAAAGACGCCTTGAATTCATTTAAACGTATGAGAATTCATTTTAACCCGTCACTAAAGTTTTATGACCAATTCAATGCCCAAAATTCTCGCAGCATTGTGGGTCAAGTTTGACAACAAATTTTTTGACGTTTCAAAGAAAAGCACTCGTCGTTGAGGCATTATGTATATATACATAGAAGAATCCAAATCGACTGCATGAGAGTATTAAACAATAACCTGTCTTTGTTTGGATCAAAGTTTTTGTTATGGATCATGTTCGCACAGAGGCGTAGCCAGGGCTCGGGCCGGGCGGCCCGCCCCCCCCCTGGCAAAATTTGGGGGGCCCCTGATAAAATGTATTGTATAAAAATGAGAATCCTTAATTATATAGCTTCATGCTGTCAATAATGCAAAAATTCTGTAGAATATATGCTTTCCTGCGCATCGATGTGAAATCTAAAATCTTGTTCGCTTATTTGCGGCACACAGCTTGGAACACATACCTTTTCTAACCCTAATTATTTCAATATGTATTTAATGAGGGTTAGATGAAGTTTAAACCAATCTGTTTTATTACCAGTGAATTTTTAACGCGGGCTCGGTGAAAAATCACATGTGTCGACAATTAATTTTACCCAGCACTGCGCAGAATACCTTGCGCGAACTTTACGTCTCGCATGGGCGTCAGACAATACTGACATCGCATATGTTATGTGAAGACTAAAAATTATTCAAATTGAATTCAAATTGGTACATGTGCATGTAATTTACAAACATTTACATAAAGGCACTATTGGTCGTATTCACTTCCTGTTCTAACTGGCAAACTGCGGTAAATGAGACAATAATTCGTTTTGCTTGTTTTGTTTGGGACCCTATATTCAAAGTGGAAGATACTATATATGTATATTTACAGTAAAGGTTATATAGGCCGTATTCTGTGACCCCAAAAGTCACTTAGAAAACAAATTTCGTTGCCCCCATTCGGGACCTACTTTTAGTTTACATGAATCTATAGTTTTTGATACGCTGAGTACGAATTCACTTGTTCTCACTCGCACAGACCCGCAGTTTTTTTGTATTTTACGATCAAACATCAACATTTTTTATTAAAATTTCCGCCATTTTGTTCAGGAAACTTCATGTTATATACAGTTATTGTACTAGTCCAAGTCTCTTAACAGGGGGGTTGCACGCGGTATTACGCAGTTTGTTATCATTCCTCTGAGAAAAATATACAGAAATAAAATAAAAATATAGATATTTTCCCACAATATAAATGCAAAAGGTACTGCTACATGTTTGTAAATACTTATTTTTATTGCATCAACTTTTGGGTTTTTTGGCTCATCGTGATGTGAAATTGCAAAGACTGTCACTATATCCATAAAGACTCACTTTTGTCATTGGTAAAGTTGTTTATTTTATTTATTACTGAAATTATGTACATAATTTTGGCCTTACAATATGAAAAGGCAATTTTCCTGGATACTGTCTACATGAAATTTTTGTCAACAATAAAGTTTTGAAGGTTTTATCCCTCAGAGAGATTTCAAAAGAAATTTTAACTTTGAAATCTTCTAATGGGGTGTTTATATGGAGGTGAGCCAGCCCATGCAGGTACCCATGGCCAAGCTAGCTCTCTTTGCTGAGCTGATTTTATCCCATGTTTACATGAGACTTTTGAGGTGGGCTGTCTTGCCAAAACAAGGGTCTTACCACTATAAATAGTATACATAAGTAAACATGTTTTTATTTTTCAAGATCTCACCTAGGCAGCCCAGATCGGTTCCCATTTAACCACAACATAAATGTTAGTATAAATTACATAGCGATGTTAGATCTCGGCAAAGCAAGCTAGCTCAGGTATCTGGGCTGGCTCTCCTCCATATAAACACCCCCCAAGAAAATAAAGAAATGTTATTTATATCAATAGATTGATGTGAATTATGTATTAATTATTTAATGCTCAGCTGTTATATCCAAGATCTAAGGCTTGGAAAAGAGTCTTGGCCAGGCAGGCCAGCCCAAGAGGAAAGAAGGTTTATTTAACTAAAGCATATTGGTAGGTAGTGATGCCAAATTACTTTAAATTTCTATTGTCTGCCTGGTCAAATATAAAATATCTCTGAATCTCCAGTAGTTCAGTTGGTAATTAATAGCAGCTCAAATAGGATTAGAGCTTAAGGTGACGATGGGTCATGACAATATGTTGTATTTAATATTTTTTACACATTTAAACCTCAAATGGCTCGATCAATTAATGTTTCTAGATGGCATGACTTTGAGATTTGCTTGTGTGAATATAGTTTTTTGTTTAGCTGTTTTGTTCCAGCAAGCTCATGCTTGCCTCAACAGTCTCACATAAATTGAATAACCAAGCTAGGTTGTTATATGGTAGCTGTAATAATTGGGGCTATGTCCTGTGCAGCCACCATTTGCTAATGTAAATACTTAAATAACAATAAAGTAATTAAAGAAATATAGCTAATCTAGGTTGGGTTAACCCCATATAAACAGACCAAAAGTAGGCTGTCTGTCGTAGTGAAAGCCATCTTCCAAAAGTTTTTATTTATAAAGCTCAATGTCCCATAATAGCAAAACTGTTATTATAATACAAGAAAATGGAACTAATTATGTGCAGATTTATTAAATAGATGAGTTATTTTTATTGAGGTAAACTGCTACTAGGCTATAAAATTAATGGGCAATGGTCTACAAATATGTCTAACATTTATTAAAACAAATATATTGTGCTCCTTATTCATTGTTGACAAAAATTGCCTATTCACATTGCAAGGCCAAAATTATGTACATAATTTCAGTAATAAATAAAATAAACAACTTTACCAATGACAAGTGAGAGTCTTTGTGGATATAGTGACAGTCTTTGCAATTTCACATCATGATAAGCCAAAAAACCCAAAGGTTGATGCAATAAAGAATAATAGATTAATTCCTAAGTATTTACGAACATGTAGCAGTACCTTTTGCATTTATACTGTGGAAAAATATCTATATTTTTGTTTTATAATACCGCGTGCAACCCCCCCTGCATGCTAAGAGACTTGGACTAGTACAATAACTGTATATAACATGAAGTTTCCTGAACAAAATGGCCGAAATTTTAATAAAAAATGTTGATGTTTGATCGTACAATACAAAAAACTGCGGGTCTGCGCGAGTGACAACAAGTGAATTCGTACTCAGCGTATCAAAAACTATAGATTTATGTAAACTAAAAGTAGACCCCGAATGGGTGCAGCGGAACTGAACGATAATCGGCCACAGAA